TTTCCTATGAGTATTTGGTAAAGTCTCAGTACTGACATATCAGAATATGTATAAGATTTTATCCAGTTGAAGCTGCAGACTTTAAGGATGTATCCATTTCCTCCCCTCTTCCCTCCTTCCTTCCCTCTGTCAACTGTGAATGTTTGAGATGATGCTATCCGGCCTTTATAGACCAATCTATAGATAAGTGACTCTTTAGCCTTCTTCATGGCAAATTTCTCTCCAACATCCTTTGCATTCTAATTGGTCTTACCCAATTCCAAAGAATTTCCCATTAATCAATAAAGCTTCTTCTTAGAAGTGGACTAAAGCTGAAGTTTCAGCTTCTATTAGACTCCATGTGAGAGACTCCTTTCAAAAGGAGGCAAATTGTGAATCCAATTTTCTTTTGGCATTAATTTCCTAGTAATTCTGGGGGTTCAAATGAGACATCAATGACTAGCTGTCACTCAAGTATTTTGTCTCAAAGCTTAAAGGACTGGAAAGTGACTGTGCTCCTTCCACTCTCAGTTCAAGTACAGTATTCTGTTCCTGGCAGCCAAGAAGCAGCAGGTGTAGGATGAGGAATAGCTGGCCATTGCTCCTGGCCAGAGAAGACACTTCTTCACAACAGTGGAAGGTTTCAGTATTGCTTAGCCTGTCCAAGAGAAACTATTTTTGTTCCATATCCATGCCCTGGTAGGAGAGTTCAAATTTATTTTGGGTTTGCTGATGGCTATACTATCAGGAGGATATCAGTGCAGGAAGCCAAGAAGCTACCATCTGTTCTGTGTTTATATCTAAAGAATTATTTAGAAGACTGATTACTCAGTTAGCTGGGCCTCCTGACCTTCTAGTATTACACTTAGAAAGGTAACTAACACTTTCTTGAAAGTCACTTCACTTTTAATAACCCGTATAATTCCCTCAGTATAAGGTAGGGATCAAAGTATTGACCAAAGCTTCACACTGAGTCTCATGTGTTGTGGATGCTGTGAATGATCACTCGTGGTGAACAGAAAGTGACTCCTAATAGTGGTATGTTAGTAAATATTTAACAGTGGGCTCTCTCTAGGGAAAAAATACCTGATTCATAGCATTTGTTAGTTTCCATGATGAAATATTAAGAACAATTTTATAAATTCAAAAACATAGATGAAATATAGCAATTCCACAAAAGACAATAGTGACCAAAATCAACTCAAGCAAAAGTAGGAAGCCCAAATGGCCCTATATTTATTAAATAAAATGAATTCACAAATCTACCCACCAGAAAAATTGCAAGTCCAGACGGCTTTACTAGGGAAGTATATCAATTGCATAAGGAATAAATTACACTAATCTTGTGCAAAACCCTTCAGAAAATAGAGGAGGAAACACTTCCCAACTCATCTTTTGATTCCAGAATTTATACTATTCCCAGAATTAGGTGAAGACATTATGAGAAAAGAAAATTACAGATCAGAGATCAGGATACTTCATGAATAGAGATGAAAAGAAAATTCTTTGCAGAGTATCAGCAGATTGAATCCAGTAAAAACATATATATATTTATATAAATTATAATATATGATGACCAGGAATATAAGGTTGGTTTGACTTTCAAAATCAATTGATATAATTCACCATATTAACAGAATAAAGAGGGAAAACTATATGATCATCTCAATATATGAAACAAAACCATCTGAAAAAAATTCAAAAATTAAGCACTTATTCATTGTGTATGTATATAATTCCCAAATAAAGTAAGAATAGAAGAGATTTTTCTCAACTTGATAAAAGACAACTAAGAGAAGCCTGCAGCTAATATCAAACTTAAGTGTGGAAAGACTGAACACTTTCCCTAAGATAGAGATGAAGGCAAGGATGCTCACTCTCCATCACTTCTATTCAACATATTGCTGCAGGTCACAGGCAGTGCAATAAAAAAAAAAAGAAGTAAAATGCATAAAATTATAAGGGAAAAACACTGTCTTTATTTGCAGATCATGTAAGTATAAAATGCAAAACTATTTCTAAAATAGCGACTAGAACTACTACATACATTTAGCAAAGGTATAAAATATAATGTCAATATTCAGAAATTGGTTCATTTTTATAAACTAACAAAAAAGAATCTAAAAAATATAATACTCTCCACAATAGCATCACAAAACATGAAATATTTATGGATAAGTTCAACAAAATACGTGCAGTATCTGTGCATTGAAAACCAAAAACTTTGCTGAGAGAAATTAAAGAAGACTCAAGTTAGGGGATACAAATGATCCTCATGGATTGGAAGATTCAATATTATTAAAATGTTAGCTCTCCCCAAACAGTCACCATGAGAATTCTAGCAGGATATTTGTATAAATTAACAGTCGGAGATTCTAACATTTGAATGGAAATGCAAAGGACTTAAAAGAGTCAAAACAATTTGGAAAGAAAGAACACAGTGGGAGCCTATGATAAGCAGAATTCCAACATGACGCCAAGATTCCATCCCCCGCTGCACCAGCGTGTACAATCCCCTTCCATAGAGTATCAGAGAGACCCGTGAATATGATGGGATGTCATTCCCTTGATTAGGTTATGTTATATGGCAAAGGTGAAGAGATTTGCATCAGTGGCTCCATCCAGGACTGAAGTGGCTTCATGCCTGTATTTAGACACCCAGACAAAATGCAAACCTTTGGTCCTCACCCTCCAGAAACAGATGTGCCTTTACCACCCTCAGATTAAGGCAAACACACATTTATTGCACAGTCTACCTTCGGGTTCAGACTGGAGGGGGAGATCCACAAATGCCCCAAGGCATACTCATGACTATGTGGGCAGGGAATTCCAGGCTCACAGTTACTCCAGGTGTGATCTCCAAGGGAAGAGGTGCATGCTCCGCATAGACAAGCCACTTGGCCACAGGATCTCTTCACTCCATGGGAAGGGAGGAGGCTCAAGGTGGCCAAAGTAGAGCCTCCCCAAGCAGAACATCTCAAACTTATATGTGCATAAGATCTTATTGAAATGCAGGATCAGAGCAGATCAGAGTGAGACCTGGGATCCTGTACATTTAAAAGCTTTCAGGTGACATGAGTGCTGCTGATCCGCTTTGAATAGCAAGGCTGGAATCATGGGGCGGGGTAGTACTGCTGTGATGTCTGGTGATGCATCCCTGGCATCAGAGCACATGATCAGCCCTACTTGGTTTGGTGTCACTTGTCACATCTATCCAGCAAAAGAAGTGAAAACAGGAATGACTATCTTTAATTAAGTGTTTACTGTCTGTCACTAATATCTTTAGGTGTGATATCTCATGTAATCCAAGTACCAGCTTAGAAATGCTAGCCAGTTGCTTAAAGATGTTCTTCTGTTCTCATAGCATCCCTTATTTTCAACCTTTTATCTGTCCCAGTTACCCAAGCCATTGTGCTACAAAATCCCTAGGATCCTCAAGTTTTCCTAAACCCTCTTTTTCCTAAATCCTCATTTTCACAGACCTCAAGACAGCCTGGGAAAACATTCTGGTTGGTTCTATTACAAAATCTTGTTATTAGATCTCTGTTGGGTCTTCCTGATTCATGACAGTCTTCCTTTTAAATATTCTATGGACTTCCTAGCACATTATCCATAGCAGTGCCCCAAATCCTTTGCACTCAGCTCTATTTCCAACTGTCAGCAAAAGTGCTTGCATTTCACTTTAAAGGGAAGGATGCTTCATCTGTATTTATAATCCTAATCCCTTTCTTTTCCTGGGCCTTGCTTATCAGTCATTCCGTTTCTATCTCCTTTTACTCTGACTTTTAGCCAATCAAAATACTGCCTGAATCTCCTATTTTGTAAGATCATACACCCCCTCCTGATCCCTGTTACATGTCTCAGATAGCCGGCCTCCTTTGCCTTCCCTCACTGCCCATTGCCATGAAACGGGAGTTGCCTTTTACTGCCTCTACCTGCCACCTACCACCACTTTAATTTCTTTCATTCTGGCCTTTTCTTCCACCAACCTACCAAAACCACCAATTTGAAGTGGCATTAAACTATTATTTTTATTAATAAAATATGGGAGCATGAATGAGATATAAAATGAAGTCAAAATTGTTTCTAATATTTATGCTATATTTTTCCATTTTGTAGCATTTTTTATTTTGAGACATCACTCTACAGAGACTTTTATCTCTTCCTGTGGGATGGTTCCCTTTCTGTGCTACATTTTTTGACATTTACAAAAACATACACTTCTTTTAAATTCAGTGCTGAAGGTTAAGACCTCGGACCATTCATTATTTTATCTGAACTACTTTTCTCACCATTAGTTGGAAGAAGGGTAAAATAATACATTGAGTATTCTACTCTCTTTTGATGATTATGTTGCTGTTGGGCCAAAACAAACCTTTGGAACCCAGATGAACTTCTAAGTTATTCCAAGAGCATTAGGAATCTTCCTTTACCCTCCATGGACCCAGCTTCTCAGTGCAGCTAAAGCCCTTGCTTAGTCTGTATAAATTAATACATTTGCTGGAAATGTGACTTGAGGAGATTTTATAGCAGTGGTTTCAATGCTGCTAGTGGTGAAGTGGAAATTTGAGAATGTGAAGATTAATTTAAACCACATGATGGGTTCAAGGAAAAGGGACATACCCGACAGTTTCCTGAATGTGTGCTAACCCTAGATAGTGGGTAATGGGATCCGAAAAACCACCAGTGAACTTTTAAACCCTCTTGAGAGGAATCAGATCAGTACAGTTAGCCCTGAAACGGAGCTGTTCATGAAAACAGGCCTCTTCTTTCTCCCTCAGAAACCAATCCCTTTGCCTGAAAGAACACAGTTGGGAGATCAGAGATAGAGGAGGCACCTTAACTTTTACTACTAATGGAATGAAGCTAGGCCTGTGTTTCCAATCATTAGCTGGTTTACCGATCTGTCTTTCATCATACATTCCAAATTCTGTTGGGTTCTTTAAACTATTGTTAACCAATAAATTGTATGTTGTGAATAGTCAATGAACTTGAAATAAAAGATTTCTTTTTCCTTCCAGTTTGTCGTAGCAGTGTTCTGGATCATTTATGCGTATGACAGAGAGATGATATACCCGAAGCTGCTGGATAATTTTATCCCAGGGTGGCTGAATCACGGAATGGTGAGTGGATTAAAACAAATGGCTTTCCTTTATTTTAAAAAAATCTATTAAATAGCTATTATCTGCTATTTAGACCTTCCATAGAATTTGCCTAAAAATCCATGAAATCTTGGAAGGTTATAATGGGAGATTACAATTAGAGAATACTGTAATATTTACTGAATATAAATAGAAACTTCTTCCCATGAAATTGAGTCATTATTCAAACTATGTAGTAGATGAATCCACAGATTATTAAGGTGGGTGTGTCAGTGGTGTTAAATAATATAACTAGCCAATTCTGGGATGAATTTAATTTCTGTGCCATTAGAAGGCTTGTCCTCAGAGCCCAGGGTTAGATTCCCACCTACACAGCCACCCGCTCTCCGCTCCACCTGCACCTCACATTGACAGGATTTTGTTGGAAGTAACTACTGCAGCTGGACAGTTTCCCTCAGATGGGCAGCAAGGCTGTTACTTTCTCTCGGAGATCTGTTGCAGGCATTTGGAGGTGTCTTTAGCAGTGGGATTGTTTGCCTCTTAGGGTTCTGCCCAAGTTAGGGTGTTTGCCTGTGGCTTTGAGGCCTTTTCCTTCTTCTCAGTCTAATTCTTTCTGATGCTTTAGCCATGATGTTCCCCTCACTAGTTTCAAATCCAGTGCTTTGGATGGTTTTCACATCATTTTACAACATTTGAGGATATATTTTCTGCAGTGAAATTTTGTGTCATCTTCCCTTTCAGCTTTTGGAATTGAGCACTACTTTGTTATTAACTAAGAAGCATGCATTTTGGTTACAGCAGTTTTAGAACATGTCCCAGGGTGTTCCTGGTGAAAAGGGCAGCCCATCACAAGAAATTATAGGGGAAGGAAAAGCTGGAAATCATGAGCCTTGAGTACAAAATAACAGTTTCCCTTCTGCCCCCAATTTTGATATATTTGAAGAAAAGTGGTGTGTCTAGCAAACGAACATCACTGTACTGAAGGGTTTTGATCAATCCTTCCTTAAGCCAATTCATCAAAAGTGGCATATCTCAGAGCATTAGATTTTTTTTTAGTTCAGTTAGAGCCACACTCTTGAAGGATTAGCATGGCACTTCTGGTCTATTTCCAAACACATCAGCTGGGTCTTGTCAGTTCAGTTTAGCCATCCATGGGGCCTGGCATGGTTACTATGGCCCTCTCCAACTTTTTCCTTTTCTTGAATGTGAAAAGCACGTCGTAACTCCATGCCTTTGCAATCTTCTGCCCCAAATGCCCTTCTCAGTCTTTCCTGACAAATTCCTGCTAGCTTAGTTTCTATCTTCTTTAAGAAGCCATTCCTAACTCCCCAAGCAAAGTTAGCTATTCCGTTACTTGTGCTTGCACAACACTTTCATATCTCTATTATGCATGTCTGTATCCCCACAGAAATATTAAGCTCCTAGTGCAAACCAGCCTTTGAATTCCTATTCCAAGCACTTTGCCCAGTTGTCTGGCATACAGTAGGATCAATACATGTTTATTAAATTGATGAATGAATTCACTATAGCTGATTTCCATAATTCTTTGTCAGTTACATAGCTACTGTTTATTTATTTATTTATTTATTTTTTATTTTTTTGAGAATATACTGTGTGCCAGGCACTCCACAGTGACTGTATCATTAAATTTTCACAATGGCACTGCAAATAAGGAATGATCTCAATTACAAATGAAGAAACTGAACCTCAGAAGCATTATATAATTTTCCCAAATGACATAGCTCAGGGTGGTAGAAGTGGGATCTGAATGCAGGCCTGTCTGGCCTCAAATGTGTGGCCACATTTTATCTGAACAAGCAAAACATTAATTGATTATTGATAAAAAGAGTAGCATTGTATAGCTTTTACAACAGTAAAGTTAACAAAATATAAGAGAAACATCTTCAGAGTGTTTTAAAGCTTACTTTCAAACTGTTTAGCATATTTTAGCTGTCTAAGATAAATCAGTCAATAATTAGGTGCGTATTTTTAAGAAAAAGACATTATGAAATTCCTTATCTCCAAGAGCTAAGTTGTAAATGGAGATAGGCTTTGTAAATCATCACTTCAAACGTTACACCAAAAAACATTGTCATGTGTTCAATCAGGAGCAGGCTGTGGCCAAAAGGCAGGCATATTCTTGTACAAATAGTATCTTTTGTGACATCTCCAAATATGAGGAGGAGTAATATCACCTAGATAACTAATTAGAGTGTCCAAATTGTGAGTATTAAAGGGAGACTCCTGAAGTTGCAGCCTCCAGTTGAATGTGAAATGATGTCAGTTACCTTGTTCTGACATTAGGAGAAATTTTGCTGACAACAAATAATTGCGTCATGTGCTATAGAATTAAAGTCTCGGCCACTTTGGCCTATTGTTAACAGGCCTGAACTGCACAATATTACCTTCATGCCAGAGAATGAATCACAGTCTTTGTGGATCCTGGTTCTAAATTTTTAATGTTTTGAACAAATGGTTTATTAAGCATGTATCCAGCCGTTAGAACTTTGACTTGCCTCTGTTAATTTTACCTTGATTCACTTTGATGTCTTAAAATTCTTACTCCTGGAGACAAATACTACTTAGAAACACCAGGAGGAATTGAATGACACAAATATTTAGGAAAGAGAAAAGATAAATTAGTTAATATGTCAAATCCTCTAAGATAATGTGAGCTCAATAGATTCTTTCACAATGAATTCTGTGCCCTAATAGTGATAAATGACCAGTTCTTTGTTTTTCCTCATGTTCCAATTGATAGTTCCAGAATTACTGAGGAGAAAGAAGTTGTGCATGGTGGCTCAGGCATATTTTGCAATATTAAACAATTTACATTACTTGAATTCTGTATCTGTGTAACTATAGATACAAAATTGATAAACCATGATGCTGATCCTTTAGCCTAGCAATTAAAATATGAACATTAAATGCTGGAATTATGAATAATTTTAATAAAATGTGTAATAAAATGACATTTCAAATAAATGAGCATTTTCTTCTTTGTTTAAATAATATTTTAAGTTGTAATAACTATTATAATTTGTATTTGCTTTTAATTCTAATTGGTTTTTAATATTAATTTTAAAATAATATTTTTAAATATATGGAAATAAGTCCATTCAAAATTTCTTACCAGTCTGGATAACTTGGTGAAACCCTGTCTCTTCAAAAAAAAAAATTAGCTGGATGTGGTGTTATGAACCTGTAGTCCTAGCTACTCAGGAGGCTGAGGTGGGGGGATTGCTTGAGCCATGATCATGCTACTGCACTCCAGACTGTTGGACAGGAGTGAGACCCTGTCTCAAGAACAAAAAAGTTCTCACATTTGTTTTAATGTATGTATTTTAATTGAAAATTCAAATTGTATACATTTTGATTATAATTTTATTTTCGATTCATCTTTTAGATTATTACTGTCAGTAGAGTGAAAATTTTGTGAAATTTTCCATTATAATAGCATATTTAATAATTTTGCTGAAATGAAGGCAAGGAAAATATAGTTTTAGAATATTTATATTCTTATTATATTAAATATTAAATATTTATATTTATAGCTTGTAAATATATATGTTTTACTGCTTATCCAATCACATATTTTCTATTTTGTTTTATAAAACTACATCTGATAATGTAGGAGGATAAAACATTTTATTTAGTACTTCATTAGCTTTATTTGTAGCTTTTTTCAAAAATGTATTTGCTTATTTTAATTTTCAATGGGTACCACATACATATGCTATAAAATTTAAATGTTTCCCTGCCTCCTTTGTATACCAGCTACATAATTCTGTTTTCCTTTACTTGTACCTTTTAAAGTTAATTTTAACATACATGTAATAATTTAACATAGTTACAGGGTACAGAGTGATATTTCAAAACATGTATATAATGTGTAATGACCAAATCAGGGTAATTAGCATGTATATTTTCTCAAACATTTATCATTTCTTTATGTTGAGAACATTCAAAATCGTCTAGCTTTTTGAAAATATACAATAAATTATTGTTAACTATATTCATTCTATATTGCTCTAGAACACTGGAATTTATTCCTCTTATCTAGCTATAATTGTGTGTCTCCTAACCAACCTCTTCATACTCTCCCCTCCTGGCTACCCTTCCCAACCTCTAATAACCACAATTCTACTCACTACTTCTATGAGCTCATCATTTTTAGTTCCATCTTGTTCCAGATCTTAGAGGAAAAGCTTTCAGCTTTTGTCTCTTTAGTATAATGTTAGCTGTGGGTTTGTCATATATGGCCTTTATTGTATTAAGGTATATTCCATCTATACCTAATTTGTTGAGAGTTGTTATTGTAAATGATATTTAATTTTATCAAATACACTTTTCTGTGTCTATTGAGATAATCATATGGGCTTTGTCCTTCATTTTGTTTATGAGAGGTATCAAATTTATTAATTTGTGTATGTTGAATCATCCTTTAATCTCTGGGATAAATATAAACTTTTGGATATGCTGTTGGATTTTAGTATTTTGTTGAGGATTTTTGCATATATGTTCATCAGAGATATTGGCCTATAGTTTAATTTTTTGGTTCTGTCCTTGTCTGATTTTGGCATCATGGTAATGCTGGCATCATAGAATGAGTTAGGAATAATTCCCTCTTCTTTAATTTTTTGGAATATTTTCAGAAGTATTTATGGTAGTTCTTCTTTATGAGTTTGGTACACTTTAGCAGTGAAGCCATTCTGCCCTGGGCTTTACATTGTTGGGAGACTTTTTATTACTTATTCAATCTCATTGCTTGTTCTTGGTCTATTCAGGTTTTCTGTTTCCTCCTGGCTCAATGTTGATAGGTTATATGTGTCCAGGAATTTATCCACTTCTTCTAGGTTTTTCAATTTGTTGGTACATAGTTGTTCATAATAATCTGTTATGATCCTTTGTATTTCTTGATCTGCGGTCAAATGCTCTACCCCTGAGCTGTACCCTCTCCTGATCCTTTGTAATTCTACGGTATCAGTTGTAATGTCTCCTTTTCTATTTCCGATTTTATT